GGTCTTGTCCAGGGGCTTCCCCAGCAGTGCGGCCGCCAGCGTGGAGAGCCCCGCTTGCAGGGCCCGAGCGGGCACGGACACGGCGGGGGCGTTCTGGAGAGCGAGGTGGAGGGGGGGGAGGGGGTGGAGGAGGGGGAGGAGGGGGATACGGCGAAGCACAGACGATTGACGAGAAGAAAAAAGCATAGACGGATTGGAGCGGATGACGATGGTGATAATGGTGTCATTACGTAGAGAGCAGCGGGCACCAAAAACCACAAATAGGTGGTGGTGGTGGTGGTGGTAAGGTGGTGGTGGAAGGGGGGATGTACGAAGGGACAGAGGGCATGGAACATGGGGACGGGCCGGGTAGACTGAGGGACCCAAACCTGAAAAAGAATATGCAAGCGAGAACACATACATACATACATACATACATATATACATACATACATACACGGCGGGGACGTGCATACCTTGGGTCTGGCTGCCTGCGCCTGCGCCGTTACGTAAGCCTTCCACATGTCGTACAGGTCCAGGGTGGCCCCCACCCGCTGAAAGGCCACCACGTGGGGGTACGACGAGGCCAGCTTGGCCAGATCACCTGAGGGTAGCCCCGAGATAGCGCGCGTGCGTGTGTATGTATGTATGTATGTACGTATGTATGTATGTATGTATGTATGTATGTATGTATGTATGTATGTATGTATGTATGTATGTATGTATGTATGTATGACTTAGATTACATTGTGGGCCGCGAGAGCCGGGGGCCGAAGCCGAAACACAGCGCAAGGGTCGGGAGCACACAGCACAAGTCGGTTAGTCTTGTGTGCTCCCGACCCCGACTCAGACTGCCAACACTCTACGCAGCCACTCCGCAGCCCCTCCATCCGGGGATGGCGCTGCATTGAAAACACCACGAAGGGCTCTCAGGTCCCGCTAGAGCGAGTCCACAAGTCTCAGCTAGGGCAAAGTCAAAGGCTCTCTGAAACAACCCCCCAAAACACCACCAACGAAAACGGGATCCTAAGGGAGGAAAACAAACAAACAAAAATTGTATCTATGTATGTACGTATGTATTAGGGGGAGGAGGATATACAGGATAACGCAAGAAGAAAAGGGTCAGCTGCAGATACGCCCAAGGCACATTCATACATACATACATACATACATACGGACTACTTCACGGATACCCACCGCGGCAGTGATACAGCCTCAAAACACATGGGGGCAACCTGTGAGCGGCGGTGCGGCGGTCCACACCGCTGACCTTTGCTGCCATATCGCCGCTGCCGTGCCGTTACTGCTACTAGTGCTGTGTACGGCTACGCAGTCGTACGCATGCAACCCACCGCGCACCCACCTGCCAGGCCGAAGCCGAGCACCAGCGCCCCCCCTGGACCGAACAGAGGTGCTAGCACCGAGTCAATGTCCAAATTAGGCTCCTGCTCATTCCTTTCCTCCGCCGGCACGTCCGTCGCCACATCGGTAGCGTCCGCGACGGCGGCGCCGCCGCCACAGAGCGCCGGAAGGTCAAACAGTACGGCAACATCATGGGTGGCGACCTGAAGTAAGCTGGCGCGAGTGGGACCACCGCCACCTCCACCGCCGCCGCCGCGACGGCGCCGCCGCCACACTTCCTCCCCGTCCGCATCCCCCTCCCCCTCCCCTTCCACGCCCTCGCCGTACTCCCCCTCCCCCTCCCCATCGCCTGCCGCCGCCACCTCCCAATCTGCCAGGCCCTGTGTAGCCCGCCACTCCACATCGATTCCGATCAGATCCGCGCCGGACAGCGCCGCTGCCGCGGCACGAAGACCCGTGGGTCCGTCCACAAACAACACGGCGGACGGCGGCAGCGCCAGCGGCAAGAACCGCTCCGCCCGTGCTGCCTCCTGAGCTGCGAGTACTTCCGGGTCCAGCTGGAGGGCGGTGGGGGGGAGGCCGAAGCGCTTGCGGTACTCGTCCGCGAGGCCGGCCTCGCCCGCCTCCACCATCTGCAGGGGCACAGGTGAATGTATGTAGGTATGTAGGTCTGTATGGGTACGGATATTTGTGTGCCTGGAGCAAATTCTGTTGCTGTTTCGTGCATGCAGTTATCCAGCAGGTATTCCCCCTCCATACCTCCCGCCCCACCTGCTGCAGCAGCTCGAGCTGCATGGCGGCATCACCGCCCACAAAGGCAGCTGCCACCCCCCACACCCGCTTGGAGGTCAACTTGGACAGCGCGGCACGGCGGTAGCGGGCCTCGATGTCGGGGAACTCCTTGGGGGGGTGGGTGGGCGGGGCCGTGGGAGCGTTGGGGGTGAGGTAGGGGGGTTGGAGGGGTTGGGGGGTTTAAGACGAACCACTGCTATATAACTTGGATTAGGGGTTGGGCGCGGGATAAAAAATATTTCAGCGCCACAGAAAGCAACTTCCGACGTCCAAAGCAAAGCAAGCAGAACTGGGCCAACTGCCACGCCCCGTCCAAAGCTTGTTGTGGGGGGGATGTAGGGGGTGTCGGTTAGGGTTAAGGTTGGGGATCCCGGTGCAGGGGCATGGGGAGACCCATGGGACTCCAGGCGGAATACACGCCCCGTCCACATTTCATCATGCCCTTTCTTAACCCCCTTCCCTCACCTCCCCCTGTGTGTCGCACAGTTCCCCCTCCCCCCTCCGCCTTTCCCCCCCCTTCCTCCCCCTCCCCCCTCCCCCTCCCCTCCCCCCATTCACCGCTCTGAGTCCGAACAGCCGAGTAGCCCGGGCAGCTGCCTTGAGCCGGTCCGCGGAAATACACGTCTCAACGAATATCACCTCGGGGAGTGGGGTTGGGGGTTGAGGGGAAGGGGGATCACACGGTGCAAGAGCCGCAGGGGTACACGTCTGAAGTGCAGGGAGTGTGCGTGTGGGTTGTGTGTGTGTGTGTGGCGGGAAGGGGAGAGGAAAAAGGATGGGGGGAAAGAGGGTCGGGGGGACGTTATGACAGTGTTGTATTGATGTTTGTAGCAGGAGGGTGAGAGAATGGATGTCACTCCCCCCACCTGCCCCCTCTTTCTCCCCCACCTGATCCTCCCGGCTCAGCCCCGCCGCCCACTTCTCCGCCGCAGTCTCCTTCCCCTCGGCCACCAGCCGGCCGAATAAGGCGGGACGGTCTACCAGGTCGCAGAGGAGCGCGTGACAGCGCCGGGGGCGCAGGAGGGGGGGGGTAAGGGAGGGAGGGAAGGGGGGAAGAGGGGGGAGGGGAGAGGTTGAATGCGGGGGTTACTGCCTCCACATTGTACGACGCGGCGTCGCCTCTCCCTTCCTCTTCTCGGATACCTCAACATCTCCCCCCTTCTGGAAAACCCCGTCCCGCTGGTCTGGGTTGTTCGCCTGTCTTCATGTCTGTCTTGCCCGCTGCCCCCCTCGGGCCCCACATGGTTAGGATTGCGCGTTGACTCACTCCCGCTTCATGGCGCCAAGCCATGAGCCCCACTCCCGTGTCCTGAATCCACCCATCTACGAACACCACAGTCACCAGCAGACGCACCGCTAAAACACACACGCACGCACACAAACACACACACACACACACACGCGCACCATTACACACACGCACCTGGAAATGCATCACTAGGCCCAGTCCCGGTGTGAGCGTTACACGGTCGGAAAGCAGCTCCGAAACCGCCGCAGCGAGTGCCGGGGCGTCCGCCACGTCAGCACTGCGAATTGAGTTCGGGGAGGGAGGGTTTTGCATGCGCCGTACATGGGACTACACAAACACCCCCACGCCCCGAAAACCCACCACCGACATCACCATACACCCGCAGTATTCAGTTTCTTTAGTTTCTGAAGCAATACACATACACACACGCATCCAGTAGCAGTAGAGCAATAAAGAGCAGTAGCAGTGCTAGCAGTACTAGCAGACTGCAGGCGGCGCTGCCCCCTACCCAGCAGCAGTAGCAGCAGCAGAGGCAGCAGTAGCAGCAGTAACAGCAGTAGCAGCAGTAACAGCGGTAGCAGCAACAGATGCAAATGTGCAGTAACGCCAATGAATGTCCGGAACCTCTGCCGTACCTTTCTGTGGACCTTCCTTCCATTTCTTCTCCTCCCCCTCCTCCTCCCCCTCCTTCCCCCCACGTTAGACGAACTACCCCCTGACCTGATATCCACAATACACACACACACACTCACACACACACGCTCACCCGCTAAGGTCAAACACCTGCGCCAGTTTGAGAGCGATGCGGGCGTAGCGGGGCTGGCTGTAGCACGCAGAGAAAAGCCGCAGCACCCGCGGGCGGTGGTACGTCGCGAAAGCCGCTGGCAACATCGGCTGGTGCTGTTCAGCGAGCTCCCCTGTTGCCGTACCGCCCAGTTGCGCCTGCGGCTGCCCGGATTGTTTCTGCCCTTGCTTTTGTCCCTGCCGGCCTTCCCGCCCTTGCTGGTGGTGCTGCTGGATTAGCTCAAGCAAGAGGTGGCTCATGGTTCCGCTCCAAGTGTCCTTCGCTGGCCGCGTCTGCTGCTGCTGTTCCTGCGGCTCCAGGATATCGCCAGCAGTGAGCTTGCCACCTACGTCGGCGGTGGGGACATTGCCTTTCTGTACGACTGCAATCGCCGCCACGCGCGATGTCGAAGAGATTTCTAACCCCAGTGCCGAGTCGATAGCCGTATGGGATGATGTGGGGACAGGGTCGGTTTGGGGAGATGAAGCTGGCGTGGCGGTGGCGGTTGCTTTACCGGGTGGGGAAGCATCCGGCCCCAGCACGAGCACCTCCAGACAGCAAAGTAAGAACTCCAGGCTGCGTCTGGGTTCGACCTTTTTGAATAATACGGTGCTAAGGCTCTGCTGGATCGACTTAAAATGCATCTGCGGTGATTGCAGTAGGAGCTGCACCGACAGCAGGAAAGGCTGGGGATCCGCCGCTTCAACCAGCGCCACCCAGTCGGGAGGGCCAGAGGATTGTGAGTCAGCCATTCGTGCGCTATAAAGGCTGCGAGTATAACAGCCGACAAAATATGGCAACGGAATGTCACGTCAGGGAATATCCAAGAGACTAAATTTATTGAAATTACAACTCTAAGCAGCCTTACAAACGCCTCGAGCACACATCATCACCAGGTGTTTGAGTTTGCATTGCTAGTTGACGCTCAGGTGGTTGGACATAAGTGCACGACAACCGACATTTTTGTTTGACACAAAGTACACGTCATGTCGCCATGATCCAGTCCTGGTGAATCATACATGCCACGTCACACAGCATCCACGCGTTCATCGCGTGGTCGGAAAATGGTGAATTTAGCGACGGGCCTGCTCGCGACCGCTGCAACGGTCGGAGCGGTGCTCGCAGCAAGGTGCGGTAATAAGTGATCATATTGCTTATCAGTCAACCATACTCAAATTACCTGAATTTTGACAGTGAATAAGTTGTCGCGCTCAACATCTATGCATCCCCAATGGGAATTCGCCTTCGCAGCACCTGGTTCCTGCGCCACTCCAGTCGCCAAAGGAACGTGCTGGCGACCGGACGTTCTGGCGAGGAGAGCCATCAGCACACAAATGGCGATGCGAAGGTTACTGAGGACGCTGGGCCTGTTACCCAGGTACGCAATCCGTCATCATGCTATCATGCATCAGCCCCGAGCTCTAAGCTCAGCCCCGCTTCCTCTAACATAAGTCTAGGCCGGCCATCGTGTGGGGGCGACCCGCGCGACACAGAGCACGCCGCTTTTATGCATCAGAGCAGCAGAACAGTGCAGCAGGATGCGGGTGTACGTGCTTTCCTTCCTTCTGGACCCCTCGTTCCGTCCACGTCCGAAACCTTGCTTGCAATCTGATTGCGCATTTTTCAAAACATACACACACTTACAGAAACATACATACACATACACATAGGCAGCTCGATTCCGTGGCGTGAACTCTTGTTAATTAGTGTGTCCCGTAATAAGCCGCCTTTTCTTTCCACCCTCGTCGAGGAGCTTTCCTTCGCTCGCACCGCCTGGGCCCACCACGGCCGTGTTGACCCCCACATCAACAACCTAGGCAGGCGAGGCTTCCAAACACGGCCCCCTGTCCGCAGCCCCCCTGCGGTCCCCTGCGGTCTTTGCCCCCCGTTGATATCGCGCCATGGCCACCTTGTCACCCCGCATCGCAGGAAGCCAAGGACTGGGCGGCGTTGTACGACAGGATGGCGGACGAGTTTGCATCTGGAGGTACGACACGTTACGTGGCGTTTTGGGGTGTTTTAGGCACGGTACGACAGGCAGTCCAGTTGCCGAAAGGATTGGCTCGCGGGAAGTCTCCCGTCGTTTCGGCGGCAGAAATGCACTGAAAGCGACTGAACGCTGCTCACGGCGCGGAAACCGTGGTTGCCGTATGGTTTAGCTCGTGAACACCGCCGGGGGCACTTTGTCACTCTCATCCTTATCCTCCCGGTACCAGGCCTGGCCTGGAACCTCGAGCAGTACGGCCATTTACACACAGAATTTGGGGATGTAGCTTTCGACCCACGGGTCCCATTCCACATCTCATGTGGATGGTGGTGCCGCTCCCCACGTCAGCGTGTCTGTACCCCCTCATCCAGCCCCTCATCCACCCCCTCATCCACCCCCTCATCCACCCCCTCATCCACCCGTCCACAAGCATCCGCATTACAAAAGGGGAATTAAACGTCGGCTCCAGGCAGTGGTGATTTCTCAGGGCGTCCTTCACCATCACCACCATCACCACTACCACTATCACCACCATCACCACTACCGCCATCACATAAGGGGAACAATTCCTTGGTTCCCGGTGTGCGGTATCTGTTCACTTACCCCGCCGCTTAGTCGATCTGGGACAGGGTGCCGTACCAGCGCGCCGTGGGGTTTGCGTGTCGCTGAGGTACGGAACCAATCCACCTTCCCTCTCGTTATGTAGGGGGTTACGGGGGGGATAAAAGTGGGTCCGTAAAAATAATACTTATGTCGCGTCTCACTTGGACTCCCCTTTGCCATGGGTTCGTGGCTGAGCTTGACTTCTGCCGGGAGCCCCCCCCCACCCGGGCGGCCCTCCACCCCGGACCGCAACATGCGGCCCGATGCCCATCATTCGGATGGCGATACCGATGCCAAACGCGCAGATCTGAATCCAAAGGCCATCGAACCGCTCAAATCCTGGTTCCATGGGGTGGAGGATCCCGAGGAAACACCCTGGCCCAAGAAGTACACGGAGCTGGAGCCGCCGCTGCAGTTTGGTGCCGTACGATTGCTTGTCGTACCGTTGGACGACTCGCCTGTCGTACTCCGCATCGCGGCGAGCGTTACTGCGGACGTGATGCGCTTGCTGCCCGATGGCACCAAGGTAGTGGGGGGGGGGGATGGGGTGATATGGGATGGTGTGTGTGTGTGTGTGGTGAGGGGAGTGTGCTCGGGATCTTGCATCTGGTAAAACGGACAAAAGAGGGGGACTTGAGACCGAAGGGCCGCCAACAATGGCACAAGCCACTCCATGGCCGGTGATTTAAACGTGTGTCGTACGTCCCTATGGGTTCCTGTGGACACGCACTCATTCGCCCCTCGCCACGCCCCTCGCCACGGCACGCTCCGCAGGTGTTTGCGAACGCACGTGGCAACTACCACTGTACGGTCTTCCACACATCCCAGCCCACCGACCCGCGTCCCGACCCCACCCGCCCCGACGGCGGCACCGACCCGACCCTGGAACCCTCCCGCCGCCGCCTGCCCACCGACGCCGAGTGGCGGCGAGAGCTGGAAATTGTACGGCAGCTGGTCGCGGCGACGCCGCAGCCTTTGCTTCGGGTGAGTTGGTCGTACAGACGAGTTCATTTTCAATTCAGCGTGTTCTGCGCGCAAGGGCCCTTACTTCGGGGGGCTTATTGTTTGACACCCGCATGTGCACCACCCTGCCATTGGCAACCCACGGCTTGTTGCCTTCACCACTCACTTCGCCGCACCGCGTCTTAGTCAGGACCGTTGAGGAAGGAAGCCCAGTGCCAGTGCCAGTCAAATCCTACCCAGCTCCCGAAAGGAGCTACCCCTCTTCCGCACGTCGGCTCCTCAGCTCTGGACGCATGTTGAAACCCTACCTCCTCACAGCCGTGTGCGTAGCCCCCCGCCCCTTGAGCACAGCCGCGGCTTTCCCTCACTCGCCCAGCACCACTCAGTCACTCACTCACTCAACCACCCTCCCTGGAGCCCCCCCAGTTGGAGCGGGTGGTTCAGGCCTCTACGGGCGTGTTGCTACTGACGTGGACGGAGGTGGGCCAGGGGGCCGTGGTCTCGGATCTTCGCCGAAGGCTGAGGGAGGCTTTCCCTGGGGCATCCACCAAGCAGGTCTGTGCGGATGTGCGATATGCGTGTATGTGCGTGTATGTATGGAGGTATGTATGTATATGTGTGACTGCGCCCAAAGCGCGATCTTGGGGATCAAACCCAGGCACGATTTCACAAGCCTTTGTTGGATCGTAACTCCCACTGTCTAGACAAACTTACATCGGCCAGTACCTCCCAACTACCCAACTGCTCCTGCCAACCGCTAACAGACCCTGCCGAGATCCACTCACAACAAAGTCCGAACTCCCCCAAAAAATTCCCTTTCCCCCACGAAAATCTTTGTCAAGGCCACCATCATCCACTCGTCGCTGCTGCGCATCGTCAGCTCCCGACCGTTGGGCCCCGCGGCCGTGGACGCCGTTTCGGAGGCGTGCCGCCACTGGACCGCCAAGCTGCGAGGCACGCTGTACACCCCGCGCACGTTGTGGTTCATTCGGGAGATGGAGTTCTCCACCATTGAGGGCGACCGGGAGGTGCTGACGTTGGGGGATGCGAACGCGCCGCCACGGCACTGGTAATCGCGAGTGCGCGCGTGTGTGTGAGTTTATGTGTGCGACGGGGGAGTTGGGTCGGCTGAAGACGGAGGGGAATCTTAGACTCAGGGCGCGACACGAGGGGCGAGGCGGGTTTAAATCATGATGGAGGTGTTTAGGTAAGGAGGTAACTAGGCGACAAAAACGCCATCGGGCGCCCTCGGGCGCGAAGCGGCGGGAGGGGATTGGACAAGAGTGATGTGAGGGGCCGTTAGCGGGGGGTGGGTTACAGAGGAGAGCGTGAGGTGCGACGGCAGCGGCGATGTAGCTAGCGGGCGCTGTCCACAGCCCCGCAGGCGAGGGATGGATGGATGGAGTCAGGAGGAAGCGCAGCAAAAGTGTGCGAGGGTCAGGTGCATATGGGGATGGTATGTGGGTGCAGAGGACGCCACCGACTGGCGACTTCATCATGAGCAGCGAGGGCGATAACTATCGTGGGCCACAAACGCGAACCACAACCCGTTGCAACGGCCACTTTAAGCTATAATGGAGTTGGACTTTCCATTACCCGGACGCGTGTCATGTTTGGGTATGTGCGCGTTGTCTCACCGAGAACGAGGGGGACAGGTGCTCGCAAGGGCTGAGGTAGTGCCGCAGAAGTTTCAGATGACCGCGTGCGGGAGGAGCGTTATATCCAATGTTGAACGAATAATGCGATGCGAAAGCGAGTTAGACCATTTACCCCTCGGTCGTACGAGTTGCCAGGTATGAGGGCCATTGGATGTCTCGGCTATACGTTCGTGTTTCATGGCAGCTGGGGCGATTGGCAGAAGATAAGAGGTGCGTGCACAATGCGCTGTGATATGCGGAACTATTGCATCGAACGGTTTGCAATTCGCACATTCTTACACTGCCAGGATCCGGGAGGAAACTGGGCTTAACCATGTTAAGCTAATTGTTAAACCAGTAGTTGCATTTTAGTAGATGATTACTCTCACGGGGTTTTGCACGCCCACACTTTAGGTGTGCAGAGCTTCGTGACGATTCGGTCTTGATAAAAACACGGATGTCATGGATGGGTGCGTACTTGAAGCATGCAGCGAGACAGCTCCAAAAAGGTTTACTGGCATCGGCGACAATCGTAGCGCATGTGATCAATCAAACTCCTACACCACGGCTTCCACGGCTGGCAACATCTCCCTGATAAGAGCACAGCCCACAGTACCATTGAAGGTAATTTACCATCACTCCAGTACACGTTCCAGACACCCGGCAATCGGCAGAACCTGCACTTCTCCGACCCCAACAACCATATATTCTTCGTCAGGTTCACTATTTCGATTATTGCTCTAATTCACACGCACGCCTGCCATTGCGATGATGCGAAGTCAACACAGGTTTCCTGTATGAAACCACTGCATCAGACAAACCGCCATCTAACAAGCACCTTTCAAACACCCCAGGGCTGACAAACAGACATGTTCCAGTTTCTCGCATATAGATCTCCGCATATGTGCACAGCGAGCAAAGGGTTTCACCACACCACCTTAACGACGGATCTATAGCACAGGTACACCAACCAGCTAACGGCGAGACCCGCCGAGCCCGTGAGTCGCGCGGTTTGGTTGACACGCTGGCCAAGCAGCCACACGAGGGACCCTAAAACGCTTGCCCAACATCTGGCGCGACTTACAGAGCACATCGATCTTCGAAGTGGTCACTCGTGAGCCAGTACATGGGGAATTCCGACCCCATGCCCCGAAGATGGCCCGAACGCCAAACCCCTTTGACTCAACCGTACGTATATGAGGCCCCTGCTGGGGCACCCTACAGGTCGACATGAAGACATTTAATGGGAGCAGTCGGGAGCTTGGGACATGCTAAATCCGTAGGGCTGGTTCAGCGGCCTGCTGACGAAGCCAGCAGAGCTGTCACAACAGGCGGTAGTATAGTAATCCGGACGTCACAAGAAACGGTCAACATGCCAAATCAACCGAAGAATACCCATGCATGCTTATTATGCGCACTAGCGTGAAAACGCGCCAGCATACGCACTAGCCACCAGCGCTTGGCTGGCTTAGCTTGCTAGGAAGGCGCCCGAGGTGGTGATGGCGTTCTGAACGACAATGGGGTGCGGCCGGAGAGCCATTTCGATGTCCCCTGCCCAGTAGTTCTCAATGTTCTTCAGGCCCAAGTACCTGCGTGCATAGCAAGCAACAAACATTCAGACAATACATGAGCCGAAGTACAGTGCTTCAAGGCAAGAGCGTTGCTACAACCCCCTAACATGCGCTGGGTGAAGCCTGCGACCGTTCACAGTTGCCTTAACGCATGGTGCCTCCATTACCAACGGGCACTGTCACCACACAGAGGCCCTCGCAGACCTTGCAAACGCGCACGTCAAAAATATATGGGCATACACTGCTCCATCTCTTCCCTTGTCATTTCGCAATCCCAGTTATGTGTCTCTTGCAAGGATCCGAGTACGCCCATTGCGACCCACCAATCAACTGTTTTTCTGAGGCCCTCCTCCCAGCTAGTCCGCTCCTGCCAGCCCAGTGCCGCCAGTTTGGCCGAGCCGATGTAGTAGCGCCGGTCGTTGAAGGCGCGGTCCTTTACAAACACCACCTTATCCTCCGGCAGGTTGAACAACTTTGCAATGTCGCGCGCCACCTCCAGTACGCTGCGCTCCCTATCTGTGCCGATGTTGTAAGTTTCCCCTGCGCATCATAGGCGGGAGCGCACGTACACGAGTGCATGTACACGTACACGCATATATCCGACAGACATGATTGGATCATTTAGGCAGCGCATGGATTGAATCGACGCCTTGGAAGTGAAGGCCGCAGCAATGCGTTACCACGTGGATTGCCAAGAAGCGAGGTGCAGGGGGACGCCTGGACGTCATTGAGGCATCTGATAAGATATGTTGCCAGGCGACAATCTGCTGCAAGAACGTTCCTCATGCACGTACTGCCCGCTGGGTGCAGTCAGCTCTAGGGAACAATTTTTAAGCAGCTGTACGCCCCGATCAACAAGTGCCGTTCGCGTCACAGAACCAAGGAACTACGTGCAACACCGGCAGAAGCACCAGATAATGCAGACAACCGGCCTAGCTTTCCCTGAAACACCCACCTGTGACGCCCTTGTGTAGCACGCAATCAAACGCCTCCGCCACATCTTCAACATAGAGATACGACCGCACGCTGCTGCCATCGCCGTGCAGGGGAAGCTCCTTGCCCCGGGCTGCTAGCAGCGTGAACTTGGGAATGAGCTTCTCCGGGAACTGATGTGGCCCATACACGTTGTTGCCCCGCGTGATGATGACGGGCATTTTGTATGAGGTGATGTAAGCGCGGGCAATAAGCTCGGCGCCGGCCTTGGCGGCCGAGTAGGGGTTGGTGGGGTCCAGATGGCTTGACTCCACAAGGCCTTTGTGCAAGGACAATGAAGCGCGATGTGTACATTATTGAGCTTGACGCCGCATGAATGCATTGAGGGGAGGCTTATTCCGGAAAATCATGCATGACGTCCTACAAAGCTGCTGCAAGATGCGGAGCATTATCGCCTCCATGCTCAACAAGCACTTGCCCCTTCAGCGCAGCCCATGGATTCATTAAAACTTTACGCATATCTTACTTGCCGACATCAACCCCGACACCGACCTGATGACCCACATCACTACATCACCAACCTGCATTACATATGTGTTCGAATACGCCCACAACACCTTTGCGCGAGGAGGATAGCTGTGTCATCACAATTGGCTCACGGATACCCTTGCCAAGCCATAAAAGCCTTGCGTGCCTTATACCTAACTAAACCCAACTACACCTTTCCCCAAGCTCCAGCGGCCCCATACCTGTTGTTTTGCCCAGGCTTGTCTCCCCATACACCTCATCAGTGCTAACATTTATGAAACGACGGATCGTCCCTGCCATGCGGCTCGCTTCTAGCAACACATGCGTGCCGTAAGTGTTGTTAAGGGTAAACGCAAGGCTGTTGCCAAAGGAGTTGTCAACGTGCGTCTGCAGGGAGCCGAGAAGTCACGCAGTTAGGGAGCACCAGATTTGCAGGCCAAGGGGAACGCTGGATCGCGCACCTGTGCTGCGAAGTGCATGACGGTGTCAATTTCCTCCGTCTTCAAAATATAGCTGATCAAATCCATAGATTGAATATCGCCTTTAATAAGCTGCGCGGATACATAACGGCCTTGTTAGTACGCTTCCGGCAAACAAATTGTGCCCGTCCCGTGTCGCACCCGAAAATTTGGTTTGTCGGCCAAGCATGAAAGGTTATTCACGCTGGCGCAGTAGTCCAGCTTGTCCAGAACGACCACCTGCTCGACGTCATTAGGTAAGACAGGCTAGAAGACACCTTGCCGGGACGATATGTGCCGCACCTTGTACTCCGGGTACCGCGTTGCAATGCGTATAACGACATGAGAAGCAATGAACCCTGCTCCCCCAGTAATTAGGATATTCTTGGGCGTATATGGCTCCGATTCACCAATCCCATTGTCGATCGACGCCATTTTTGTAGTTGGTCTTTGCTAACGCAAACGCCAAGGACGAGTTTATGGCAAGCCAATGAATAAAAAGTAACCGTTATGCTATAAGCCGAATGCTATACCGTTGCGTACTAATGCTGGATGTATGCCGTACATGTTGGACTCTTATTACATAAACCCGAAGTCCCTTTAAAATTGCACGCAAGCTTGCCGGAAGCTCATATGTCATCTTGCAGGGCAAACTGTGTACTTTTCGGTGAAGATCGGGTTCTATGTTTTAAACATAGACCAGTCAAGAATGAGTGGCCCAATTCTTTGTTGGCTAGTAACACTTAAAATTTATGAGGAAAACTTTGATGATAAAGTCCCCAATAAAAATGACTTGTTTAATACGCGTGTGTCCACTCATTCTTGACTGCTATAGTAAATTACTATCCACGAGACTGACGCGCGTTGCTAGGCCTTTGTTATCGGTGCACAGTGTTCTGCAAAACACTACAAAGTGCCGCCGCGCAAGTAGATAAGCGAAACACCGGTCATCCTTCCAAATGCTAGCAACCCGTTCATTCTGCGTGTGACAGCCTGTGGATGGGTGATCTTCCGCTGCGTGACCTCATTGCATCCGTATCCATGTCCATCACAGACGGAAACTGCTCTGTGCTGCGTTTTTAGGTCCCAAACGGCACGCAGCAGCGGCAGGAGCAGTAGCAACAAGCAGCTCGATACGACACCTCCTGCGGCCCGCACATGCTCGCTGGCTTCGAGGTACAACAGCCACGGGTCGCCGACCCGCCAATGACCGCAAGTAGTCCATCCAAGAATGATGATACATATGTCGGGTACCATATTGCTTGTTGAGTCGGGAAACAACCTGAAAGTGCTCTCCTAAGTGCCATTGACGGAAAACAGTGCCCGGGCATCCTTGGCACGGCGTAACACAGGTTGACAGTTTTTCTCTGGTCCATTGGAGCTCCTTTGGTATTAAAGTACCAGTATCACTAACTCAGGGTGCTAAAGTCGAAATTTTCTGGCTTGAATGTAAAAGTTCAAGTGGGTACTTCCAGGCCGGAAACTTGCTAGAGGAGAAGTTAGAGGAGAAGTTATCTACTGTAAAACTGGATGCAGCGGGTACAGGTGCCAGTCGTGCCCTAGCCAGGTGCCTCCTTGTCATTAATGCGAAACCACGTGGGGAGAGGTGGGCTTTCCCATGCACGGGACGCGGGGCCTGGTGCAAGCCAAACGTATTGGCCATGGGGGGCGACGGTGTACCCAGTTGCATCCTGCGGTAAGGCACGGCGGGGCGGGATTTCATCGGGGATGCCACCTCCAGCTGGCCGCGCATGGAAAAAAAATCGCCACCAAAATATGGGAACATGAACCCCGAAGCTGCTGCCGACAAAACCGCCTAGGCAATCAGTCAGAGAGGGCCCTAAATGTGTGAAGTGAATTGCATGGATACATGGTGCACTTTGTGCGGCGCAAACCCCAAAGAAGCTGCCCAAGACTCCCCCCAGGAAAGCGTTCAAGACCGACGGGGGTAGCATCATCCGCTGTTAAAACAAAGTCCTTAAGGGGCAATGTCCATCGCGTACCATGTATGTTCCAGAGCAGCAGCACCAGCGCCTGCGTGCGGAGTCTCCACACTTTCAAAGCCACTACGGAGAGGCCCTTGGTTCGCTGATGCTTTACTGTTGGCGATCGCAAGTCTCCTACACTTTAAGATACAGCTGGAGTAATTGGCCGTTGCATGTGAACCTATGCGGGTGGACGTCCTCCACCGTTAAAACTACCGCAGACAGTCAGTCATGGGCTCGCATCGCAAGTTAATCTGCCTGCCGACCTATTCCCAGGTGTCGGGCTCAGCCTGCCTGTCCCAGGCCTCAGGCCGGCTCGACGCGCATACGCTTCAACATTTACAAGGTTTGAACTCCGCTTTGTTTGCGTAGTACCAAAGATACCTAGCTTTCCGCCCTGGTGCACATGTCAGGTCTGCTGTACACAGGTACAAACGAATTTCCTACTGCACACCTCGCTTCGGCACGTGTGCGAAGAGTGGACCCTCCTTTACTGACTGTATGAAATCCAGGCTGTACGACACCGTGTCATGCCCCGTACACTGCTGTATTTGTACTATCAGTGCCGCACTGCACCTAACACGGGATACAGTACCTTACACCCCTGGGGAGCCCCTCCCCCGCAAGGTTGGGGTGTTTAGCAAAGCTGCGGGATACGCGGGAAGCAAGCTGCGAAGGCTCTTAATGAATTGTATCCTAGGGGAGGGGAATACACCGAACACCCACAGGGAGGTGCGTATCCCGTGGTGTTGCCTCTCCGCCAAATCATGCATACACCAACCCATCGAGACAGCAAAAAGGAAGCGGAAAATTCCCCCACCCCTACGCCTTTCCGCGCCGGGGTGCGCCTCCTTGGGAGGCGTAATTCGGCAAGACTCCCCGCTGTCTGCTTGTCCGTCCGAATTAAGGGCATCAGCGTGCAAGTTCCAGCAACAGGGACCAAGGATAAAAAGGTTAATGGACAAGAGAGACAAGCTATTAGGCAGGTATTCAGGCAGGCCAGGACTCACAAAATCTGCCTTTTCCTACCCTCTTAGGCCGTCACAGCTCGATTGATTGAAAGGATCAATACTACACCCTTTATTATCAAATGCCGTTATGTGCATGTGTGCGTTTGTGTGCGCGCGCTTGCATGTGCGTGTATGTATGTACGTATGTGAGCTCGTGCGAGTGTGTACGTTACCCCCAGCTCTCTCGCGGACCTCGTTCCGCGTTCTCCCCCCCATCCAAACCGCCCATGAATCCAACGCATGTGCCTTGTTGTTACCTGTGCCCTTAGCAACGCACACCGCACACCGCGTGTGCATTGCTAACGCGCCCTTTACCATTGCCAACACCAACCATGCCACCAGCCATGTCACCATGACCTAGCTACCAACCACCATCACCCAGGGCAGGATGATACCGAATCCACGTGTACCTCCTACCCTAGCCTACCGTACTCTACCTCACCTCTACCGCCAGCCGCTTCGCCGCCTTATCAGCTCGTGGGGTTCCTTATTTCCGTTTGAGCAACAGGACCCCAATCTCGCCAACCTTGGGGCTGTCTTCGGGGAAGGCGGAACAAATTAAGAATGTGCTATGTGGCTAATGTCCACCATCCTCGACCGATTGTGACCAATGGTGGCTCACGGCCCTACACGCTGCCCCAAACCCCTTCTCCTGCGTTAGAAATGCTTTGCGACGCCAGCCTTTGGGTCCCGACATCGTTTTGCGGTGGGTGGCTCTCCCTCTCTTTTCCACTCCTTCAGCAGCAGCTGCAACAGTAGGAGCAGCAGCAGGAATTCAAAGAGGTACTCAAGGATCGCATCCGTCCGTCAATCTGTGCGTCCGTCTGTCTATCCGTCTGTCTGTGAGTGAGCGAGTAGTTCGATACCAATGCGACAGCGAATCCCGCCGTCCGCTATTGCGCTCCGACCCAACACAACCCAACGCAACTCGACCGGTGTACCCCATACCGTACATTAGCCAGTCCAGCTCCTTGCCGCCATATACAACACTGCGGAGAGGCGGCCACCCAAGCGCTCCTCGCTTTCATCTCTTTTCTCATCTCTTCACCGCCCGGATTGACCTCCTCCCAAGCTTCACGGCATGACCGATGTCAAAATGGTTGAAGTGGTGGTGGTGGTGGTGGTGGTAGTAGTAGTGGCTTGCGCGGAGGACGGGTGATGCGATGAAGGACAGAGGCAAGGGCGTGGGAGGCGGATATGCACTCCATTCGACGGATATCCACTCCAATGCCCCTCCCACCACCACCACCTGCTCCTCCTGCTCCGCATCCTCCTCCACTGCCACCTCGTCAACCTGCTAGGCGGGTGGTGGGTAATTGGGGAGATCTGCGCCATCCCAGCAGCGGCATAGACCTGCTACGGTCTTGTTGTCTGCTGTGCGTGAGTGTTTACTTTGCCTCGCCGGACGGAGGGTGTGTGAGACGCACTCTGCGAAGTGGAGTAGACACCAGACAGCAGCTGCACCCGGTCCTCGGCTTTCATTGCCAATCGACGTCAAAACACCCAAAAGGGCCGTACCGCGCGCAGCAGCAGCAGTAGGTGCGCACGCGCATTTAAATACACAGCTATTTTATTTTTAATGCGCAAAGACAAAGACAAAGACAAGGGCGAGGAGGGCCCTAACTGGAGCCCCAGTTTTTTATAATTGGGAGGCTTGCAGCCCCCACCTTCCACCTCACCATCAATATAGCAGCGTGGTTGAAAGGTTGCAAGGTGAGACACGTTCATTCTCTCCAGAACCCCACCGATTACTCTCTCTCTCTCTCTGTCTCTCTCTCCCCCTCACTTTCTGTCCCGCTCACTCACACTCTCTCCCACACTCACACCCGCTCTCCCACGGGGGGAAGAACGTAGGGGCGCTTTCAGGGAGGCCTCCAACACCCTCGTTTACCCAGAGGGAATTTCGTCCCACTCCCTGGAACTCATGATTTGCCAAAAGCACACACGCACAGACACACCCACACACACTCCTCAGCCACGAAAATGCTCACAGTAAGGAAGGACGCGTTTACTCTCATAATTGTATCACTCAGGATGTGGGGAGGGCGGTGGCGCCGGCGGCGAAGTACCGAAAAGGTGGTCGCGTGTCGCAAGGCCGTCATCGCATCACACGCGTCACACGTGCCGCGCCTCTCCCCCCCGTTCTCCCCCCCCGCTGCACGCACCAGTCGAGGAAAGTTCCCTCATACATGTGCTCTACGACGGGTACAGGTGTACAGGTGACAAGAAAGCATGACATCGTAACAAAAAACAAAGAAGCGGTTGGGCCCTTCCTTGCACTCGTTGTAGGGGGACGGCGCGTTGCCCACCATGCCGGCGGTGCACTTACCGCTCCGAAACCCAGCCCAACCCAACCCGCCGCGCCATGGCATCACACCACGGAACCCCCACGAGCCACGGAACCTATTGTCCAAACTGCGGCCGCCTGCGTTTGCGCCTCCTGACGCAAACAGTACGGAATCGTACGGACCCCACGGGAAAAAAACATTTGTCGCTTCATCCTCAAATGCAGAAAACAAAAGTGCTGCTGCTGCTGCTTTTGCCGCTGCTGCAACGAGGCAAATGCGCGGCAACAACGCGAAATGCGGCTACTAAGATACACGGCGCGCTGTGGGGCGGAGGTATCTCGCTTCATGGGGACCTTAATATTAGGGCACAGCAAAATTTTGGTGCTGCTGATGTGTTGGTGGACCTGCGGCCCCCAGGCCCAAAGTGGCGCGGGGCCCCTCGGAGCAGGAGAAGCACCCAATGAAATTTCCACATCCACATAGCGCGTACAAAAACACCGCCATATCCATCCATGGAGCTTTAGCTAGTAACCACTGCCCCATCAGAACCCCCTCTTAACATTTATTCGATACAGCTATCAAAAAAAGGCTTTCGGACGGCACCCTCAAGCTCCCTCCCTCCCTCCCTCATGTTCCCGTAGGTTTTCCATCGCCACACGAGTCCGTAATATGTGATATATTTCTGCCCTCTGCCGCGCTCGCTCCTCCCGTCACTCCCTCTCCTTTGCTCTCTGCGGCTTGGGCTTGCCAGCGCTTGCACATCCCCCTCCTCCTCTCATCATCATCATCATCATCCGTACGCCAGCCATACGTCATCCGTATCCCATCCGTATTTCATCCGTATCCACGTTCCCTCTGCCCATTTATTACGTTAGTAGGTATACAAGACATGCATGCTTATTCATACACTCACGCACTCAGAAGAAGGTTCGTGCTCAAGGACTTGAGTATGTTAGCAGTGCGGGTAATGCCGACCAAAATTCCCTACGAGCATGAGGCATCCGGAGTTGGCTATGCGGGTTCTGGAGAAGGACCACAGCTCCCCCCCCCCTCGACAAGCGGCGCCACTGTGTGTGTGTGTGTGTGCACTCGCGGGGTTGAGGCGGAAAGCTATGCACGAAAGCGAAGCACGCGTTGTGTTAGTACGGGCTCGATCAACGGGCTCTCCCTCCAATTTAAACTCCGCAAAAAGGGCCCAGGCACAAAAGCCCCCTAGCCCCTCCTCTTAGAGACCATTAAAGGCAATACGGCAAGACGATAATACAGTGAGTCCAGCCCCAGTCCGGTCTCAACCCTAGGACCACCGCCGCAGCTGCAAGCAGGATAGCACCGCGCTCTCTCCCTCTCGCTCTCACTCCCTCCCTGGCCCCTGCACTATAGCTCTCCAAGTTTCTTCCCTCGTTCCCAGATATTAAACGCTATCGCTCCTTCGCTTGTCGCCCGGGCCTCGGCCCCCTTGCCTTCCACCACATCGGGGCCCGAACAGGGCGTCAAAAGTGACTTCTGCAGCCCGTTACGGCTATGTACAGCGGTGCTGCTAATGCGGCGAGTACTGAGTCGCGTAACCCATGGGTCATCATCATCATCAACGTCGTTCATGGCGGCAAGCTTCCCGGCCGCCGTACACCGTCAGCTGACGGACGCGGACGTCGCCTGGCGCGATATTTGGGCTGCCGCCTGCGAGCCGGGGGCCGGACCCGACGGGGACTGCGCCGATTGTGCCGCTGCCGCCGCCGCCACCGCCGCGAATGCTGCCGCCGCTGATTGGCCTGGCGTCAAGTGCTGAGATTGCTGCTGCTGTTGCTGCTGATGCCGGCCGTGCGGCTGCGCTGCCGTCGCCGTCGCCGTCGCCGCAGTCGACGTAGCGACCTGCGGCTGACTGCCACTGACGGCAGCCACTGGCGTACCAGCGCCGCCGCCACCGGCAGCGGCAGAGGAAATGAGCGTCGCGAGCGGGTTCGTATGACCCACAAGACCGATTGCTGCGGCGGGTCCAAGGCCGTTGAGCCCTCCGGTTCCACCCCCGACGCCGAGTCCAGACAGCCCCGCCAGGCCGGCCGGTGTCGCCGCCGCCGTCAGGCCGCCCAGGCCGGCTGTCAGGCCGGCCGCCGCCAGCGGCGCCGTCAAGCCCTGCAGGCCGCCAATGCCGTTGAGACCCGCGGCAGCGGCGGCCGCGGCCAGCGGCCCCAGGCCGTTAA